TACAGCATGGATAATGGGTTTAATGGGACGATGCCCGTTTCAAGCTCGCACCGTGGCGTATAAAAGTTGATGCTCCCCCAAAGCCCCCTCTGGTGATCGTCGTCGTCTTCTCTCTTTCCGATCGCTGTTTAAAATAATCAACAGGCTGACGTCTCAGGGGGACAACGAGGCACCTCGAGAGAATAAAGAAGTTGTACTGGCCGTCGTAGTATTTGTCCACTTGCCAACTTTAAGTCGCATGATCGAACGTGGGAATCCCGACCTGGATGCAATTCTGTTATCCGTCCTAGTTTCCACATCGTTTTAGGACGCATTGGCTGGTCTATAATTACGATGTCTCCGACCTTTAGATCATTATTTTCCTGTGGCTTCGCATGATCTGCCGAACGAAGCAGCAGAAGGTAGTCGGACATCCATCTTTTCCAAAACTGTGCAACTAGTAGTTGTCGGTAGTTCCAGCGTTTTGAGAGTTCATCTGCTCTTCGTTGCAGCGCCTCGGAGTCTTCAGATGACGGCAATGGTGATAGTCGCTTGCCGATCAGGAAATGAGCAGGAGTTAAGGCTCTTGGCTCGTCGTGCTCTTAATGCATAAACGCCAACGGTCGTGAGTTCACCGCAGCCTCGACTTCTTGTACCACAGTAGTGAGCTCTTCGAAGTTTAGTGAACTTCGTCCAGGAATCTTTCGAAGGCAGGACTTCAAGCTACGAACCATCCTCTCCCAAAATCCTCCCCACCAGGCTGCCCGTTCAGCGCTAAATCTCCAGGATATCTGGTTGTGGGCAACGTAGTTTTGAATGTCCTGGTGGCGTAACGCTGTCCATACTTCCTTGATGTCTTTAAACAACCTTTTGAAGGTGAGAGCGTGCTCCGAGTAGATGACCTTTGGCAGACCTCTTCGTACCACAAACCGACTTAGTGTTAATAAGAAGGTCTGAGAAGACATTCTCGATATGACTTCAAGGTGGACCGCTCTTGTCACTGCGCACGTAAAGAGAGCTATGAAAACTTTGTTTGGGGTCATGTTCTTGGCATAAAGGAGGCCTACAAAGTCGACTACCCCTATTTCGAAAGGGTTTGTTGGCTCGATGCGACCAGCAGGTAGAGGCGCTGTAGGTGCTGACAGTGGCTTGAGCCGATATCTAGAGCATGTAGGGCAGTTCTTTATGCATTTCTTTACCAATTGTCTGCCTCGAATAATCCAAAATTTTTCACGCAATTGCGTTAATGCCTCAGCGACTCCTCCGTGTAGAACTCGGATGAGTGCATTTGAAATTATCAACTCCGTTAGGCGATGGTTGGCTGGTAGATTGAGAGGATGTTTTACTTCTTCTGTGAAACGCAATTCTTGGAGCCTTCCGCCTACTTCCCACCCTCCTTTGTCATCAAGAAAGGGGTTCAGCTCGGCGATCTTTGAGCTTTTACTTACTTGCCGTTTGTCTGTCAGTGAGGCTATCTCTTCAGAAAATACCGAGTTTTGAACATGTGTGATCCAGTGCAGTTCTGCTCGGGTTACTTCCTCCGCTGAGAGGTAATTTTCCGACAGCTTTTCGCTCGAACAGTTGTTCATAAAACGCAGTATCCAGGCAGTAACTCGAATTACCTTCTGCAGTCTGCTGTAACGATGGAGATCGAAAAACGGCTCGAAAGAGCTAGTTCTCGCTGGTGGTACAGCGGAAGGTATGCAGTCTCTCTTCTGCACCAGAGCTTCTTCAGCGCAGTGGTCGGGCCATTCATAAATGGGTCTCTGGAGCCACACTGGACCCTCCCACCAAGTTTGGGCAGCCATCAGTCTTTCGGCTGAAATTCCCCTATTGAGAAAATCGGCCGGGTTATCCCTTCCTGGGCAATACCTGAAGTGGGAAGTTACTGTCAGCCGTTGAATCTTTTCAACTCGATTTGGGACAAACGTTTCCCAGCGTTGCGGTTACCCTTGAATCCACTTCAGAGTAATCATGGAATCTGTCCACATGTAGCAGGTAAAGTCCTCTGTGTCAAACGTCTTCTGGACGTACCTCAAAAGCCGAGCTCCAATGAGCGCTCCTATGAGCTCTAAGCGTGGGAGCGTTTGCCGTTTGAGTGGTGCAACCCGAGCCTTTGCTAGTAATAGACGAGTCTTGACGTTGGCATCATTGTCAGATGATCGAATGTAGGCTGCAGCGCCGTATGCTTGAGGACTGGCATCCGTGAACACATGCAGTTCGGTAGACCGCTCCAATCCTCGCAATTCGTGGAATAGGAATCGGCTTATGGCGAGTGTTTGAAGCTGATGAAGTTCGTTGCACCACGTCCTCCATTCATTGCTGATCTCTACAGGAACCTCAGCGTCCCATAAAATGTCTTGTTCCCACAGCTTATGAAAGATCTTTTTCGCCCGAATCGGGAAGGGTGCGATAAGACCCATTATATCGAATATTGGCGCCGATGCCTGGAGAATGAACCTCTTAGTGTTGACTCGTGACTCTAGTAAACTTAGGACGGTTTCCAATGACACCCTAAAGGTGTCTTCGGACGTGCTCCATACCACACCTAGGATCTTTGATTCTGGAGTTCTTTCTGCAGGTCCATTAGGAATTTCGTCGCCACCTTCAGTGAGACGCCTTTGTAAATCCTTGTAGTTTGATGTCCACCTCTTCATTGTCATTCCTGCCGCTTGCATAATTTCTTGAGTTTCCGCGTATATTTTAAAGGCGTCATTCTCATTTGCGGCCCCAATGAGAAGGTCATCCACATAGAATGACTTTGCCAGCATGTCGGCAGTCTCTTTGTGCCTGTCAATATTCTGAAAGTGGTGCTGCAGCGTAGCTGTGAGTAAAAAGGGGCTAGAAGTAGTTCCAAAAGGCACGCGCGTCATTCTCCATCCTTGTAATGCCGGTAGAGTCCCAACCGTCTCGGGTGCGCTCGCGAACCAAAGAAAACGAAGAGCATCCCGATCCTCCGTCCTGATTGAAACCTGTAGAAACACTTTTTGAATGTCTGCTGTCATTGCAACCTTCCTAGCTCTGAATCGCAGTAGGATCTGCAGCAGGTCGTCTGACAAGTTAGGGCGTGTTTCCAAATGAGAGTTGAGCCTGCCTTGTCCCTGTTTGTGCGAGGACGCATCGAAAACTATTCTCACTTTTGTTGTGACAAAATGTTCTCTCAGTACTGCATGATGAGGCATATAGTAGAGATGTTCGGGCTCATTCATGACGTTATTTGCTTCTGCGTGAGGAACAACTTCTGCGTGACCGTCTTGCAGGCACTGACGAATAGCGCTGTCGTAGTTCTCTAGAAGGACCTTGTCCCTCTGCAGCTTGCGGACCAGTCCACGCAGCCTAGCTTCTGCCAGGTCTCTTTTGTTGTCAAGCTGCTTCGTCAAGTCTGTTTTCGACGGAAGGGATACTTCATACCGCCCTTCGCTGACGCGAACTGATTCCTGAAATCGTTCGAGTACCTGGTCTTCGTACGCTGACTTGACCATAGTGCCTGAAATCTCAATGTGCTCCAGGTCCCAAAATGCTTGTAAGCTTCTCTCTTTTTTTTTTTTTTTTTTTTTGAAGTGCGTTGATACGAAGGGCGCACGCAACCACGTTTGAATGATTAGTCAAGGAACACGATGCTTCCGTCGGTCCTTTCACAGTCCATCCAAGGCGCGTATTGACAGCCGTTATTGATTGGTCTGTATTTCGGGTGACTTCTCCCTTGACAATTTTCCAAGGCTGGTCTGCCCCAATCAACAAGCTGATACCTTCAGCCGAGTTGGTTCCTGCAAATAGGCACGAATCTGCGAGGCTTTTGCCTTGTTTTTGCAGAGACTGTATAAATCCAAGGTCTACTGCGAGCTTCTCGATGTCGCTGCAAATATGTGGTACCTCCACCGCTTCTAGGACGTACTCTGTCTGATGGTACTGACTTTTCAATTTCACTTCAACGATCTTTCTTTGTTGCTTTCGCGGCTGGGTTGATCCAAAGATGTTAATGTTGAGGTTTGCTTCACCGAGCACCCGCATTTTGCATCGACGAGAAACGTCTTCGGACGAATGTCCGTTGACTCCCACCGTCTAGAATTCCCCTCGCATAAATGTAGATTCCGTTACCGGCGACCCATGACCTGAATGTCTGTACCAAGACTTGCGGCTTTTTTTTCCTCTGATGCTACCTTCCTCTTGGGCGTTGTTCCTCGCACTCCTTCCGCGGGATTCGCACATGGTTGTCGCGTGCCTCCCTTTGCACGTGCCACACGATATACGCCTTTTGCAGTTCCGTGCTTGATGAGCTCTCATTGTACACTTGTAACAGCGTCAGTCTTGTGCGAGTTTGTTTTTCTTTTCTTCTAAAGACCTTTCTGTGCCACACTCTTCCGTCTTGTGCGTCTGCGAGCCGCAGAAAAAGCATCTGTAGGCGACGGCTTCGTACGATTGCGAAGTACTGCTGCTGATGGCATCGAGTATTGTATTACAGTGGGTTCAGGAGACCGACCACTGTCTTTTGTAGCTCGGTCTGAACCATGCTTCCTCTTTCGAATCTCTACTTCGACCTTCAAATGTGCCAAAATTTCGTCTAAGTCGCCGCTTGCCGATGTTGTTGCCGATGTGCTTGGGTCACCGAAGCCTTGCCGCCGGTAATACTCTATAACGATGTCGCTTTGTAAAACCTTCAATAAAATCTCGTACAAAATAGCCGAGTACGAAATGGCGTCGACTCCTAAAGCTTTCAGTCCTCTGATGTGCATCTGAACCATGTCAAATAAATTGCGCAGGGCGAATATGTTGCTGGATGATTTGACATTTTGATGATTCCGAAGCTTAGCTAGGTGATCTTGTATTATAAGTTTGGTGTCGCCAAATCGTCCCTTTAGTATTTCCACTGCGTCGGAGTAACAGGAGTTCGATACTTGAATGCCAGCGATAGCCTTGGCAGCTGTTCCGGTGGGAAGTGATCTCAGGTATTGAAACTTGTCGATGTTCCGCAGTTGCGCATTTTTGTGGACGGTGTTGACAAACATACCCCAGAAGGACTGTCACTCTCCGATACGTCCGTCGAATTTCAGCATCTCCAGCTTCGGTAGCTTTGCCACCAACGTTGGAGTTTCTTTGCGGTGTCGTTCTGTCGCTTCAGACGTCGCCGGAGGTGCCGCAACTGCCTGACTGCACTTCAGCCGGTCAGTGTGGTATATCAGTGTAACTAGAGCGCTGGCCACTTGGTCCTCGTAATTCATTACGCTCTCGTGTTCTTGCTCTAAATCTCCATCTGCCACAAATTGTTCCAGCTCCCGATTCAGGGTCTTGAGCTCCTCGCTGCTGCGGCTCAATCGTTCGTGCAACAATATAAGGTCTTTCAGGTCGTAGGCTTCGTTTGAAAATACTGTACTGACCTCCTTGATTAGCCGGGTTGTTTGACCGCGACGAGCCGTCCGTTTTGTTCTGACCCGTTTCATGTCGTCAGATCGTCCTCCGGTTCTGGTAAGGGCCGCTGATGAGGCGACGAGTTCCCGAGTTTCGGCACCAAATCTTTTGTAAAATAACTGGACGATATTACTGGTTACAGCATGGATAATGGGTTTAATGGGACGATGCCCGTTTCAAGCTCGCACCGTGGCGTATAAAAGTTGATGCTTCCCCTAAGCCCCCTCTCGTGATCGCCGTCGTCTTCTCTCTTTTCGATCGCTGTTGAAAATACTGAACAGTTGCGTTTGCTTCTGAACTCTTCCGTTAGAGAGGCTGTATTAGAGAGTTTATAACTGGTCGATCGGGATAACGTTGTTTATAGGCCGCCTTTGCAGTAGGAGTTGCAAGGAGGTGACAAAGCCTTGATGATCTGCAAACATCTCCGCCTTTCCTCCTGCTTTCCTCCTCGCCGCGCTAAGACGCAGTGCATGGTGCATTGGCGACAGATCGCCGCCAGTAGGTGCCCGCCTTCAAATTGCAAAAGCTCCCCACCACTTGAGATGAACCTTCTGTAGAAACTAAGCTCTCCATGTTCTGCTCATGCTTGAGGCCGAGCTGCGTTTCCGTGGAAGACAAAGTGAAAGTGAGAGGAGGACAAACCCGTACGAAAATGTCAGATATGGGCCTGATATATTTTATATACGGCCAGATATGATAATATAAGCAGTCAAGGAGGGCTGTATTTTGCCAGATAATGGAGCTAATATGGCCGTTTTTCGCTAAATAGGTGGGCAAATACTGCCAGATCTGTCCGTATAAGTGCGTAAATACGTTTATATATCGCCATATACGCATGCAAATATAGCACCTGATAATGATATATGGGCCCGTTTCAGTCGTGCAAGCAACAAGTTACATGTACTCGCTAAGACACTAGTTGATTGATCTATATAGCACGAGTCTCATGTAATTGGTTCACTATAGTCAACATCCTTAAAGTAAAGTAATTCAAGGAATTTGGACCAATTAATCAATTGCGCAATTTGAAGATTGAAAAACAAATGAAATTTGGTTGTATGTCTGATGTGTGACAATATGACGAAGTGCGATCGGAACGCGAGTTAATTAAATAATGGATTTTAGTCGCAGCTCTTAGGCACCCGTTTCCAAATTAAGCGGTGTTGGCGTCGCCATCGGTGTAACCGCCCGCTAAATTTAGCGACAAATTGAATTGGTACGTATGTCACGTGACGTCAATTTTGCAGCGAAATCTGGCAGTGAAACTAATTTATTTCATGTTTCGCCGCTAAATTGAGCGGGTAAACACGAACCGTTAGCTTACTCAAGATGCAAGACGCTACTTCGCCGTCCCCAATCCTTTTCCCTTCGAACGGAAGCCGTTGCGCCCGGTGTACAATACGCAGCTCTTTCAAAACCGTTCGCGCAGCATCGCATCCGTTCGTTCGCGAGCGTCGGCGATTTATCGTGTGTTGGAAGTCGGAAGATGTGCTGTCCGTGGTGTCTTTTATGTGTAACTCGTTCGTAAAAAAATTTGAAACAATGTACACATGATTTGAATTTATTGGTAAAAATATATATATACATATTTATTTATCTATTTATTTGTCAACATTATGCACAAAAAATAGTCGGGTCTATTTTTTCATTTAAAATTATAATGTCGGTTATACAGCGTAAAACATAGTCTCTTGAAACTCGCATCGTTTTGAGTTCAAAAGCTAGACTTCATAGAGCTGTATGTTCACTCGGTATTGACAGCAGGGTAGACGCTACGCGTGTTTTAGGCCAGTCGTGTCTCCGGTTAGGGTGACGTGACTACAGTCTAGAATCTGGTGACAAATCAGGACATCGCACCTGCCTGGCACCCAAGGCCGCACATAGCATTCACAGCACTGTCAACCCTCGTTACAAGTGACACATCCCCTTGTTGTGGCCCCATAACATAAGCCTTTTGTTCGTGAAACCCCGCTTTGGCCTCTCCTTCCATCCTTTCCTCTCTCGCCCTAAGCTGAAAGCGTTGTAAAAGGTAAGTGGTCACGAGATTTGACGGATGACGCATTAGCCGTTGTCGATCTCGGAATGCGTTTAGCCGGACCTAGTTTGGCGTGTGGCCGCTGCGTATGCCCGCTTTTGCAAGCGATTTCTTCAAAGAAGCCCAAAAATTTTTTGTGATGCGTTTAGTATTCGGTTCTACAAACGACAGCTTGGGCTAAATCGTGTTGAATCTTCACGGGCACCTTCTCGTTTCTGTGTTCGAGTGGTGGTTTTGCCATGGCCGTGTCGACATCTCCCTCAAATACCACCTTTCAAGTCGCGTTTCGTCATCGTAAGTGCGCTGCAACCTATTTCGTGACAATTGATCGTTTTTCCTAAATGTATTCTTCCAGATTACCTCTAGACTTAGGCCGTGTCTATCTCCTGGCAGCCGGGAGAATCATTGTGCAGAATGTTTCGGCATTGGTGCGATTGCGCTACAAGCAGAAAGTTTCGATATGCCGCCGACAAAGTTTTGACGAGTCGCCGAAAAACAACAGCAATACAGACTCTTAATTACGCGTTCCAAAATTTGACGAGCGGCTTTACGGGTCGCTTGTAGAAAGATTGTTACGATTTTGCGAAATACTGGTAAACAATGCTAGGTTACCGTCATAATCTAAACCGTGAGATGTGGATAAATCACATAACGGAAAACTCTCATTGACTCAGGCTTAATATTATGATGTTTCCTAGCCGGCATGCCAACATACTTTCGCTCCTTGCAAGGGTTACCGCCTCGCGGACGGCACAAACCGAACCCCTGACGGCGGCGTCTCGGCGAGCTTGCACACGGAGCCGCCGCCAACCGATCGCCGTTATCGGCGTTATGTAACGATAGGCACAGGACATCTACTCCAAGAATGGACAAAAGCCGATGCAAAGGAGTGCACGAACGCAAACAACGGTAGAAAAGTGCCGTTGCTCGCCGCTATGAGATGCGTGCCGCAAACTCGGTCATCCGCGGGCGTACCCCTCTCCTCCCGCTCGTACTTTCTCTAACTTGACGGACACTCTGTCTCGCGGTTCATGCCGACGAAACGATCGTCGGGATACCGGGTATTCGCTACAGCCGAGCGCGGCACAGTTTACCATTGCTCCCGCTGTGGAGGGTCGAAGAGTCAGCTACCAGCATGGTAAATACCGTTTTCTTTTTATCTTGCAGATTTGTTTTAAAAGAAGCCGTGACCGCTACACTTATGCCGTTTGTACGAGAGTGATGTAGTTTGCTAATCTTTGCGATAAGTCGGAAAATTAATTAAAATTCATTAATTAACTTTAAATTAGTGAAAATAGACATATGGCTTCCGTTAGAAACTTGCTGAGCGTCGTCCAAAACCAGTAAACCAGTAATTTTTAGGAAGACTGAGCGCGTGTGAAGCGCAGTAGTGCACTGAAGTTACCACTCGTGGACCAGGTACAAGGCTGGGGCTAGATAACAGACAGAAAAATTGCGCGGGCGCCTTACCGAAACCGCTAGCCTTGTACCTGTTCCACGATTGGTAACTTTAGTGCGCTTCTCACGCGCTGAAAGACTCTGAAAATGACTGATTTAGGGATTTTGAACGACGCCCCGCTAGCTGCTTATTGGAACCGTATGTCTATTTTCACTAATTGAAAGGTTCATCAGTGAATTTTAATTAATTAGCCGAGTAATCGCAAAGCTTAGCGCCCACGTAATGTCCCCCTGGGCGTATAACTCACTCGTAGAAACCGCATAAGTGTAGCTTTAATGACTTTTTTTTTTTAAACAAATCTGCAAGAATAAAAAAAAAAAAAAAAAAAAAAAACCTGATATGGGAGGCAGATATACGCCTATTTGGCAGACCCAGATATGGATATATAAAAAATTGGGCAGATCTGGCTATATAATGCTTATATAAACTGATGTGCTTGATATGGCCAGATCTGCCCAATTTTTTATATATCCATATTTATGTTTTTTTATATAAGTCCACATCTGCCATTTCTGTAAGGGAAGTCTCATACTTAGCTAAATATGTTGAACAATGCGGTAAAGGTCAACCATTCATAATCAATTTCCGACCGGGCCGGGCGTGTACATGCGCATAAAGCAAGGCATTTCTAGCACGTCTTGAACACCTGCGTAATGGCGCCATTTATTGGGAAGGCGGGAAACTATTTGAGCCGTATTGAGGAGAAGCGCTCCCCGTACGCGCGCTCCGGGTGACTTGGTCGCAAATATAGGCGGGGTTGCGGTATTGAGACCCCACCGCTTTGACCAAAATTTTACGGGCTTCTTCAATGCCTACGTCGGAAGTCCTCCTTTTTTGCTTTTTTTTCTAACAAAGCGTCCTTCTTTACTTTCCCGGTTACAGCATGAAAGGAATGCAGAATATGGAGCAACATACAAGACCTTATAGCACTAAGCGTGTATGTAAAAAGGGAACTCAATGAATTCCTAATTTGTTTATTAGAATTCGAACAAAAAACAACATAACAATCCGTATGTCGAAGCGTGCTTCACACGGCCACTTGAGGCCCCATACTTGCGGCTAAATCACAAACTATGCAAGAAACACAATTTCTTGCAACGATGAAGTGAATCAATCGATTCCCAGTATTGAGTGCCTTTATATTATATAGCGATCTGTATGTGGACTTTCAATGCACCACGCATCTGTGCTGTCCTTAACAAATTACACATTTTGCATAAGTGTTCAAGAGCACAAAACATTGAGACGCGGTTGAGCTTCCGCTGAGCGAATACTCTTTATCAGCAATAACTGAAAGGTCTTAGACAAAAAAAAAAAAACGCACAGCTGTAATGCAATTGCAAAAACGAATCAAAGAGTCGGTTCTCGCATTTTTTTACATAATGCTTACATTGCCCGTATTCTTGTCGATCTCGCAGCACGCAGAACAAAATAGCGCCCAAGGAGCATTTCCAAAAATAACACAAAAACTGACACACCAAAACACGGCAATACAAACTGTGCCACACCAACAAAATTCAGCGACTCCGTTGACGACTGTATTTTTTCTTTGGGTTGAGATGCCCTGCAGCTTATGATGGCCATGTGATACCAATCTGTCTCGTCGACTCTTTGAACGAGAGATC